GTGTGTGTGTTGTGTGTGTTTGCGCATGTGTTTGTTAGTATGTTTGTAAGTATATGTGTTCGCAAATGCTCACATTACTGCTTGGCAGAAATAAGTAAGGTAGCAGTACTTCCTTAGAGGAACTCTTTCACAAGGTGCTCTACTGCTACTTCTTCAACGTCAACACAACGGTACTGGCAGAAACCAGAACTGAGTATTTACGCTGAGTCAGGGCCATTTCAGCACAAACTGTTGCAGTTTGGTGTGACCAGTACAAAACTTGTTCTTCTCTATAAATATGTATTTATATCAATATGCACCAATTTATATTCTATGTACTTTTTCTTATACCTTGTCAAAAGATTATAAAAATTTGTTTCTGCTTGTAAATACAAGTGCTGAATAAATGTTTTTTTATCTACTATACTATATAATCCTTATTATATCCTTCTTCTTTGAGTGATACAGGTTTTGCTTTACGGTAAAATCCCAATTAGGGAATATAAGCCAAATTTCACGAAAGGTCTCCACAACTAAGCAGTGTGAAGTTTTAGGTATTCGCCATCGCATCCTTATCGCAAACAATGTACATGGCGTAGCCGTGCTGCAGATCGATGAGGTATTTTCGGCTTAAACAGCCTCTATAGTTAGTAAAACGGGTAATCTATCAGTATCAGATGTTCTTAAACTTTTTCGTAGAACACTGGGCCTTTTTTTTGGACCCCATTTCTGTTATTTCCTTGAAACATTTTCTTCATAATTCCACTGAAACTCCAGTCAGATTACATTACAATTATGATAGTTTTTGTTATTCTGCTAAAATCTAGTTGCAATGGCCGTTGAGTCTCAATCATCGAGTATATAACCAGAAATAGATGACTAAATGTCATTTAATTTGTTTGAAAACTATTCTGCCACATCATTACGGTGACAACTGCGCTCCGATTGGCCAGCCCCAACCCGAAACAATTGACGGATGTCGCCAATGGGCGTCATCAATTGTTTTACTTCAAATCGATCAGTTTGATTTGAGCTTTACTATAATGGACGAAAATTGCAAAATTACATATTTAATATTTAATTACCGATGAAATTTGATTCCGTTTGTTTTGTAATTAGATGTTTTGCTGTTTTTCCCACACCACCGAATGGCACAGCACGCCATTGTTAAAGATATTTTTATTTTTAATACAGAATATTTTTGGAATATACGGAAACGTACAGACAGATCTGTTGTTGGCGCTGTCTATATTTCAGTGCAAACGAGAGTTGATATTTATAAGTGATGTAACACTGATGAGTTACCAGAAATGTATAGCCCTTTTTTCGTCTGTATTTCTGGTTATACACTCGATGGTCAAAATAGACTGTCAGTGGAATGGCAGTGATGACATTCATTAATTCAATAACTAACGATCGATGTTTCCTTAGTAAAACTACCGTGGAGATTATTATGTATATCTTTTTCTTCTTATTTAATTACTAATGTAGTCTACACATTAAATATATACATATAATATTAGTAGATTCCACCATCGTGCCATCGTCTCGCCATTGAAAAACAGAATACTAAAAAAATAAAACCAAATGTATAAAACTTTGCCATTAACACATTATCGACGCACAACTGAGATGATTGATGATCTTGTTTGGTTTTTCAACGACTTTTCAAGCAAGGAGATTACTTAAGTTCAAAATTAAAACATTCTCTTACAATGTTAACTGAACAAAAATTTTATTGCAATTCAGCCACAACTTAAATGCTTATTATTTAAAATTTCTTATAATTGATTTTAATTATTTTTTGTATAGTTAAAAAATTTAACATTTTTTTTACAATCCATCACGGCTGTATGCGTGTTAGCTTGTTGCAACAATTTAGTTCGAATTATATTATCTATGGAAGAATTTAAAAAAACCGCCATTTGCAAAATACATAATAAGCCTTTGGCTTCGGGCTTCTAATAGACCATGCTTAGTAATTTCTTATTTACCGTGCTCACTGAAATTTTAAACAGTGGTCGTTGGCATCTTCAACGACTGTACCCGAAAGTCTTTACAACTAGGCAGTTACAATTAGACACTCAGGCAATGTTATTGCTTCCAATAAACATCAACGTAATACCACTATTAACTATTCTATCACTTTCCAATAAAGCTTAGTCCA